ATGAAAATGAAAATACATCTAGCAATGGGGAAGATGACTATAAAAATGACAATACATCTAGCAATAGGGAAGATGACTATGAAAATGAAAGTACATCTAGCAATGGGGAAGATTCCTATGAAAATAAAAATACATCTAGCAATGGGGAAGATTCCTATGAAAATGAAAATACATCTAGCAATGGGGAAGATGACTATAAAAATGACAATACATCTAGCAATAGGGAAGATGACTATGAAAATGAAAGTACATCTAGCAATGGGGAAGATTCCTATGAAAATAAAAATACATCTAGCAATGGGGAAGATTCCTATGAAAATGAAAATACATCTAGCAATGGGGAAGATGACTATAAAAATGACAATACATCTAGCAATAGGGAAGATGACTATGAAAATGAAAGTACATCTAGCAATGGGGAAGATTCCTATGAAAATAAAAATACATCTAGCAATGGGGAAGATTCCTATGAAAATGAAAATACATCTAGCAATGGGGAAGATGACTATAAAAATGACAATACATCTAGCAATAGGGAAGATGACTATGAAAATGAAAGTACATCTAGCAATGGGGAAGATTCCTATGAAAATAAAAATACATCTAGCAATGGGGAAGATTCCTATGAAAATGAAAATACATCTAGCAATGGGGAAGATGACTATAAAAATGACAATACATCTAGCAATAGGGAAGATGACTATGAAAATGAAAGTACATCTAGCAATGGGGAAGATTCCTATGAAAATAAAAATACATCTAGCAATGGGGAAGATTCCTATGAAAATGAAAATACATCTAGCAATGGGGAAGATGACTATAAAAATGACAATACATCTAGCAATAGGGAAGATGACTATGAAAATGAAAGTACATCTAGCAATGGGGAAGATTCCTATGAAAATAAAAATACATCTAGCAATGGGGAAGATTCCTATGAAAATGAAAATACATCTAGCAATGGGGAAGATGACTATAAAAATGACAATACATCTAGCAATAGGGAAGATGACTATGAAAATGAAAGTACATCTAGCAATGGGGAAGATTCCTATGAAAATAAAAATACATCTAGCAATGGGGAAGATTCCTATGAAAATGAAAATACATCTAGCAATGGGGAAGATGACTATAAAAATGACAATACATCTAGCAATAGGGAAGATGACTATGAAAATGAAAGTACATCTAGCAATGGGGAAGATTCCTATGAAAATAAAAATACATCTAGCAATGGGGAAGATTCCTATGAAAATGAAAATACATCTAGCAATGGGGAAGATGACTATAAAAATGACAATACATCTAGCAATAGGGAAGATGACTATGAAAATGAAAGTACATCTAGCAATGGGGAAGATTCCTATGAAAATAAAAATACATCTAGCAATGGGGAAGATTCCTATGAAAATGAAAATACATCTAGCAATGGGGAAGATGACTATAAAAATGACAATACATCTAGCAATAGGGAAGATGACTATGAAAATGAAAGTACATCTAGCAATGGGGAAGATTCCTATGAAAATAAAAATACATCTAGCAATGGGGAAGATTCCTATGAAAATGAAAATACATCTAGCAATGGGGAAGATGACTATAAAAATGACANTGTGTATATATATACATATATATTATACGAATAAAGGGGAATAACAAAACGCGTACGGCTTCGCGCGCGTTCCTTCAAAACTTCGGGGACTCCAGTCAGTGCACCGGCACCATTTGTTCGCGGCGTGGATCTCTCCGCGGTATACATATATATGCGCGACTGTCGTAGGCACGCTTGACGTGCACTTGGGGTTTCATTTGGATTGAGTATGTAAAAAGACAGTTGATTTATCGAGTCAACTATTTATTTAATTACAGTTATACATTTTTTAAGCAGTACTTGAGTTGTAAAAAAAAAAATTATTTATAAATTTAGAGAAATTATCTCCTATTAACTCTATAGTTTTTTTTAGCAGAAGTTGGTAGGACGATTGAGGCAACAATCATATTGTGTGGCTCGAAAATCATGCGCGATTACAGCTAATATTTAATTTACGAATCTTCGAACCAGACGAAATTAAGCTAGTCACCGAAAATTCAGTTTTAAATTTATTTTTTGACTAAAAACGTACGACCATTGCAAATCACGATTTTTTTTTTCAGCCGTAATAAATTGAAAATTCCCCAGTAAATCCAGTACTGATACTCGACGTTATACTCATCGTCACGAATTCTGAATTAAAAGTGCACTACTGACAAATCAATAACAACAAAAAAAAAAAATAATAATAATATTCAAGGTCAATAGCATCCAAAATAACATTGATTTAACAATCATTCCTAAAACTGCACTTCATCATACGCTACGTCTTCGCGAAAAGTAGGCACCTTCCAAATTTTTCCAGCGTATCAAAAACGCACGTCTCAAAACTATCAATACCCGTTTGTCTGTTCCCAACACGCGGGTGACGAAACACCCGCGGCTCTTTTCTTTTCGTCACGCATGTATGGACATGTTTCCTCTCGCCTGGTCATATATACTCATTATCTCCGTTCCTAATGTGCATCAGCATCGATGCGCGTGTGTGCACAGTGTAATTTAGACAAATAACAGCCCGATGGAGGCCGGTTACCACGCGGAGGCGCAATCCCCCGTTTTGAGAAGAAGCCTCTCGAAGCTGGTAAAGGAATATTAACAATAGAATCACCTGTAATAAATTATATAAAATATACACAGCCACGTGCATCGTCAGCTGAGTAAATTATCATCTCATCTTAAAATAATATGTTTTATACATTAGATTCGTTATGTTATTTTATTTAAATTAAATCGCGTTGAAAAATTGGTTAACATTTTTTTAAATACTACAATATTGTATTGTATTTTATAATGTAGTATTGGCATTTAATATTAATACATATTATTTTTACAACTTTAACTGTCATATTTTTCAACTTATGACCCTAATAATTTTGTTAAGTGGATTTTGATTCTTGTCGAACAATTAAAAAATTTGTGTTTGTTTTTGTTGACATTTTTTTGACAACACTGGTATCTACACGTATATGGTATGTTACGACATATTTATTCTTGAAATAACATTTACGACGAAACAAAACTTTAGACAGAAAAAAAAAAAAAAAAAATTATCATACACGAGTACGGCCATTTTATTGATTTCTTTCGTCTTTAATTGACGGTTCTATGTTAAAAATATCGTTTGGACGAGTTAATAAAGCCATCAGCCATGCATATAATGAAGTTTACTCAGCAATTCATTCATCGATCGGCCTTTGTGGCAGTAACCCAAATTTCGATCGTAGAGAGTAACTCTATCTAATCCATCCTACCCGTATGAATTACATCTAAAAGGTTCGAACGGACGAACATGTAAAATCACTTGATCAAAACGCGTGTACATGATCCGGGGCAGCGATGATCGTTGATTTCGGTGTTTCGGGCGCCACCGACCTTGACCGATGACACAGAGTTGAGGGAAAAAAACAAAGACGAAGAGATACACATGATGCGCGCATGCAAATGGGAAAGGAAATTTTTCTGTCCTATACTATTACAAAGCGGTGACAACATTTTTCCATACTTTCAAGTTTTACCAGAAAAAATATAATATTCAAGACAGCAGCACTTACATGATGTTTTTTTTTTTTTTTTTTTTTTTTTTTTACAAATTAGTGATAGCGCTTGTTTCGCATTGAATTTAAGAAATCGCGTTTTGATCAAATTTGATGTAGTGATAAATAGGATGGGTCGTATCTCATGAATGATTCATTAACGAATATTTACGATGTGAAACTTGGGACCAATGAATATTTATTGACGCTGTAAACGCATTAATTAACAGGTGACGAATAATTTTTCTTGTTATCACCTGGTTAAAGTTTATAAATTTGAATTTATTGTTATTATTATAAATTATCAATTTTGAATTATTTGCCGTCATGTAACTATAAATAGTGATGAAAACTTTATAATTATAAGATAANGTGTTTAAATTGTTAGTTTTCTAAAATTATAATTGTTTTTTTAAAAGACAAAAAATTTAAAACAACATTATTAATGAATAAAATTTAGTAAACAAGAACAAACAATTTTTGGTGGCTAACGTGTATAATTTTTACGGTGATAAATATTTAGGAGCCTTGTTGAAGAACAAAGGAATTCTGTTAGCTTGAAAGAGCAACTTTTTGGCATATCGAGAGTATGCAAATATTGGCACTTGAGATCTTTTGAGTCTTTCCGGGTTTTAAATATTTTAATAATTTTCACCGTAAACTGTAGAACATTTTTAACTTCAAATACAAAAAAAATTGTCCTGTAAAACTTGACTTTTACTTACTTCCTTCTAGTCAAAAGTCAAACAGATCGGAGTATTTATTTATTAAATGTATATTTTTTCAATAAAATTGCAAAAACTTAAGATTCTAAAGTACCCAATTAATGTGTTGACTACCAAAGTAAACAAATTGAAAAATAAACCCACGATGATTTAAAAATAAGTATTTAAGATAAAAAATATACTGCGTAAAAGAAAAATGTAATAAAATTATTCTGTCTTCACCACAAAAGCACACAAGTGATTGAGCTCGTTGGCCCACATGCAGCTGGAATTTTTTTCCAGAATGTTAAACATTCATTAGACTCTCCAGTGATCCAGGTTCAAGTGGCAAGGTTCTCTCTTATAGTGGGCTAATCGAGAATGATTGACCCACATTGGAGAGACACAAGGAAAGGGGGGTGGCAGCCAGTGTCAGCTTATGTACCTCCGATGTGTCGTTGCGTGTATTATTAGTCGGGGGGATATTATTAATAGACCATTTTGTTATCGCTGATTTGACATATCAGTGACTTTTACTTAGCTAACTTGATGTTTTTTTTTTTTTTTTTTCCTTCACGCGATGTGCGGCTCGCGTCATCTGTCAAAACTTTCGTAAAAACCGTAAGCGTGTGAGTACATGGTATGTACATGGGACGTTTCGTCTCTATTCAGATGCAAACGTTTTGGGGCCTTTTAAGAAAAGTCTTTTCAGAGAAATTGCCCAATACAAGGATTGAATGGCCGTTTATGTTGTGCAAGCCTTGGTTGGCTTGCGTAATAATGCTTTCGGTCATTTGGGTCGTTGTTGTGAAAAAAGCTGCACTAACAAGAGTGTGCGAGAAAAAAAACTTGATCAGTTCATCCATTTTTTTTTTTTTTCAAAGCAATAAAAAAAAATTCTTNGTCTCCTTCTTTATTTATTTACTTCTTTTTCGGCCGTTGCTCGAAAACAAATGATGGTAGAAGCGAGTGGGAGTTTTTTACTCTACTGCGCCGTTACATTCCTCTATCTTTATGATCGGGTTTGGAATTTTTCCTGTCCTAACTTTATTTTTTTTTTGTTTTTTCCAAGTTCCAAAACAGTACCAGGAAAATTTTTTAAAATTGACCAGCGACATTTATGCGTTTAACGAAGTGATTCGGGGGTACAATGGAGGAGACAGCGATTTAATTGAAATATAGCTTGGACGGGCTACACGATTTTATAGACTAATTTTCGTTAATCAAGACTATAATACTCGTATGCGTATATAAAATTTGATGAGCTATTAAAGCGTATTCTATTTCAACGCGTAGTTGCAGCACTTTATGATCGATTTTATTTTCTAAAAATGCGTTACTCCACTGTTTTGCTCAAAAATATTTTGTAAATTATTGTGAGTGATAAAAAAAATTTTGTGGGAAAGTTTTTAAAAATCTCTAAATGAATTGTGTCCAAGTCTGAAAATTAGGTAATGCTCTAGTTTATTTTGAATAAACAAACTATTCCAAGCTTACATTTTAATGTAGTCGTATGGTAACAAGAAATTAAAAATAATTCAGAAGTGTTTATGTTCATAGAACCATTACGATTTTGTAGGTTGTTGAAATTGTAGACGGTAGACTTTTCACAAAAAATTATAAAAAAAATACATAAGTAATAGTAGTGACATTAATGATCGCAAAAAGAACGCGCAAAGCGCATAATATAAAACAACGTCAAGATACAACTATACCACGTGCAAGAAAAAAAAAATAGTACTGTCATTAAGCCCTCGACTAAAAGTATACTGTATTCGGGTCGTTATTGTCTTTATACAAAATTTGAAAGTGTAGTTTCTGAAATTCAATTGCTTGAGGTTTTTAAACTTAAACTACAACAATATCATTAAATTTTCGAACGCGAAATGCCGGGCACTAGCTAGTCAAGCACCCGATGCGTAAAAACGGGGAAATACCTTGTTTAAAGTGGAAGTGTTGTCGTTGCACATTTTTATTTTTTATTTTCATCGTAAAAAGAATCTTCAATTCAATCATAAAATGACGAGTGCCATTCAGTAATGACAACCGGAAAAACAACATATCAATCAAAACGGAATGCATACGATATCATACGCGGATTAACGTTTCCTACAAACTGGTAACTGATGACTTTGGAAAATCACGGACGATGGATTATTATTAATTCTATCGAACTACGAAATTACACGCGCGAGTTTTACTTGAGAGAAGTAGTTTTCCAAGGACGCGCTTATGTGAAAATTATGGAAATATTTCACCGCGTGTGTACCGACCCACACACATATTTCTCGTTCTCTCTTTTACTTTACATTTACAACAGTGTTTGAAAATTACGGGATTTTTACAGAAAATTTTGCGTGGAGCCGTCCATTCTAATTGATGATTTCGTAAACAGGTGTGTGTTTCGATCACTTCGGGACAAGGTATAATTTAAACTTTGATTGGGTTTGATTAAAATTCATACTAACGGTAGAAAAGTAGAAATTTTTTCATGTCTTACGTGAAAATTTTAAATAAATATTACTCAACTTGGTTGAAGGAATTAGAGAAAAATCGATATTGCATACAAAATTACTATACAATATACTTTCATGAAAAAAATATCAATGTAATGTTACATAATCAGTTATGTGAATTTTGATGAAGCAGTAAATTAAACTTTAATTTGGAGATGTACAATCGATATGGTATACTAATATTTAATTTAGTACTCTTAACTAAACTTTGGCTCATTTATTTACTTATTACAAGCAAACAAATAAACTAAAATTTTACTACATTTTCCTAAAAATTATTCCTCAAGTATTTTGATTTTTAACTATGTGTAATTTAATCGATAATTATACGTGTAATTTAATAATTAAGGAATTATTTTTTTGATATTCATAAAATAGACTTATTAAATTTTAATACTTTTATTTAAAAGTAACTCCAATACATCTTCTTGGTTTTAACATTAAAATATTATTTAAAATCATTTAAAATTAAAATTACAACCATTAATATTTAAATTTGTATTTTTTATCATCATCACTATCAATGAAGTATTAAAACAATTAAGTTTATCATTTTTCATATTTTCTAGTTATGTACGAGATTATGGTTGTAATAATATTCATTTTTCAACCCCAAGTGAATAACCGCTCATTAATTGCTTACAATCATTGAGCATTAAAATTTGCTCGTGTTAAAATCTGATTAACGCAGTCAAAAAATTTTTTCGTACAAACTTGAGATAGGGCTGTTTTCCTGAGCCCGTAAAAGAAATCGGTAAAAAATAAAATCGACACCGGCACACACGCGCAAAACATTCGCGTGTATACATGTATTACTCACATAAGTGAGCGTGAAAGGAAGTTCAATGGTTTCTCTGTGCCCCGGCGCAGACACATCACCTCGAGGAGATGAAAAACGCCAGGAGGTGAACCGCTCGTCCACCTTCGGAAGGAGAATTTTTTTCTCTATAGAACAGGAAGAAAGGGAAACATAGCCCTGAGAGAGGGAGAGAGAAAAAAATCATCTCCAACGAATGGGACGGCAACAACAAAGTCAAGAGCGCGCGCGCGCGCGAGATGAGCGGCCGAAGAGAAAAATCTCTATGTGTATATATATACATATATATTATACGAATAAAGGGGAATAACAAAACGCGTACGGCTTCGCGCGCGTTCCTTCAAAACTTCGGGGACTCCAGTCAGTGCACCGGCACCATTTGTTCGCGGCGTGGATCTCTCCGCGGTATACATATATATGCGCGACTGTCGTAGGCACGCTTGACGTGCACTTGGGGTTTCATTTGGATTTTTCGTTTCGGTGATTGGGTGAATTTTTCTTTGTTCCGAAGAAAAGTGCAAATTTTTGTTTTAGTGTGAAAAATAAGTACCGAAGGGTTCGTCGGAAGTTTGGATTACATTTTTAAGGTATGGTGGTATTTGTGTGTGAGATTTTATAAAGAGATTTTTTTTTCACTTTTTTTTTTTAAAGTAGATTATGACAGATTGTGATACTGTGACAGACTTGTTGGTATTTATTTTGGAGAAAATTTTTCTGGCTGATCTTCGGTCTTTTAATGGTTTTTACAATTATTTAAATTTTTTATTGATAATACGTATGCTATTTAAATATTCGTATTTAACATACAATAAAATATTTATTAACATGTATGACCATGTTACGAATAGCACAG